TAAATCATAGAAAGTAGCCCCCTATACCAACAACTTTGGTACTTCATCTCGGGATCATAGAAGACTTGACACTTGCATTCCAACCAAACCATAATTTCTTATCTTACAAATCTGGTTACTCCAACTTCCCAAACCTTTTATCTATAAATAGAGAGGCCATTTGCAAGCTAAAGCGGACATATTTCTTGTTTGTTGAAAAATCCTCAAAACCCCTTATACTCTAAAAAAAACTCAGAACCTGCACACAAGCACAAAACTTGGTACATCCTGACTTTACACACAAAAATATCAAAATCCCTTTGTGCATTTTTTTAGCCTTTCGATTCACTAAGCTTCCATATACCAGCCTTAGAACACTCCCAAAGCCCTAAAAAAACCTCTCAAGAAAGGTAGTGATCCTTTCGATTCACTCCCAGCTTTCATATACCAGCCTTTCGATTCAGTGACTTTTAAAGCAAAGTAGTAATCCCACTAGCTCAAGGAAAGTCCGGGCAAGCTTAATCCATCATCGAACCATTTCTAGAAGTCATACAGAGGTCATTCGAATTTCACTTTAAGAGGTAAGATTTCTTAACTGTAATATCTTGATATAAGCATTTTCAGTACATACAAATAAAAGAAAAGATGTAGATATCATGTCTAGGAAACTGACCATGTCTATAGTTTTGATTATCTTTGCTTGTACATTGAGAATTTCTTCTCTGATCAGTTAGGTTTCAGTTTTAGTACTGAATAAGATTCATGCTAACCTCTAATCCATAAATTTCTAAAATTACATGATTGAATTCGTATTCAAATTCTAGGCAGATTTGATGTTTACATTTTTTGATTTGGCTGAGAAATGAAGCTTTTAGAAGCTTAACAATGGTGATATACATCCCTGCGCGCGCGAAGGAAGAAGATGAAGCCATGTTCAAATTTTCAGAAATGAGCTCATTTTATATTTAGTGCAACTTGGATAACTAACGGATGAAACAGACCACCCCAATGGTACAAACAGCGCGCGCTAAAGCCTTGCCATGTAGAAGGTCCTGGGTTCGAACTCCAGCGAGACCTTTTGTCATTTTTCCAAATTTTCTCACTTTTTCTTTGTTTGCAGGAAGCGCGCCTGGGCATCCATTGGCTGTGCCTTGAAATTTTTATTTTTCTGACCCCTCCATTTTACTTCAGCAATGCAGGCCATTTTTATTTTTTTAGTTCTCTAACTAAATGATTAATTGGGCCAGGTCAAACAAAAACTATTTTCATGAAAAAAAAAACCTAAAATTGCACTTTTGATTAATTTCATTTTTAACTTAATTCAATTTTCCTATTTTAATTAATTACCCTTATTTAATTATTTAGGTCAAAATATTTTCCTAACAAAATCAAAACAAATTCATTTTCTTTTCATTCATGTCTTGTACATTATATTCCTTTCGATTCTTGTACATTATTCAAGTTTCAATATGGTTGTAATAGATAATTAGTATTTAATTTCTTACAATCCCTATTTGTAAATTTGTATCCCCCTCCCCAAATGATGTAATAGCATACTAAATTTACTTTCCGCAATTTATCGCTTTCATATCAATTCTAGTAAATTAGGGTTTGCATGGAAAGATAAAATCAATACTTAGAAAACCCTAATTCAAGATAAATCAAGCATGAAAAAACAAACACTTTGCACACTTGTACCTCTAGGGTTAACTCCACTTGCTGCCTTAAGAAAATAGTCATAATATACATGTGAGACATCTTAGTAAAAATAATCAAAATTACAAGATCATAGTCCCTCGATGACGCTTCGAATGTTGCCTTATAAATGATCTTAGTCTCTCAAGAGAAATGCTAAGATATCTCACAACATTTCTATTCATGATTATATAATGACCCACGCCCGTCCCTTTACATCCAAAGATAAGGCTTATCATCAATCAATGGTAAGATAGCAATATCAAAGGAAGGAATAAATGAACAAAAGACTTTTGAGTAGGTAGAACATTCTTAGTTGCTTGCTCACAATCTATCTTCAAAAAACAAACATCTTCTCAAACACACCAAACACTTTCAAAATATGAAATATTTTCAAAATTACAACACTTTGTATGCATTCTTATAGAGACGAGAATCATTACAAAATTTGCCTAAACGAAGGCGCTTTTCAAAAAAACACTTTCAAAACCCACCACAAACATATTTCAAACAAAGAAATTCCAGAAGTGATCTAGCAAGCAACTAAGAGCTCATAGATAACTATGGATGAAAAGGGTGCTAACACCTTCCATTTTCATAATCTACCCCTAACTCAAGAAAACATCTCAAATGTCTTTCCTGTTCTTTTCTCCTTTTCCTTATTGGATAAAAGAAAAGTCGATGGCGAATTTTGCTATCCGCAACAATTGCGATCAAACGCAAAACACCCAAGCCAGTTCTCTCACCGTATTACAGTTTAGAATGTCAATTTCTGGTAATCTTGAAACCATATTTATTCTTTTCAAATCTCAAATATCTTTGAAGTTGAGATGGTAAAGTCGATGGTGCCATATCCATTCATCCATGCTAGATGCAGTCACAAGACACTTGTGCTCCATCATATTAAATTCAATCTTAAAGGTTTATAGGAGCCTTCAAGATTAACCTTCCTCTTGAGTCGAGAACTATCATTAATTTGTCTTCAACCGATATTTTGTATTTCTTTTCGACTAATTTACCTATACTTAGCATATTACTTTTCATGCCTTGTATATACAATACATTGTAAATCACTGACCGTTTGTCATCTTTCCTCATACTTAGAACATCATCAATACCTTCAGCTGCTAGAGTATTTCCATTTGCAAATTTTACCATGTTCTTCATTGGGGGCTTTATATTGACAAACCAATCTTTCCTTTCAGATATGCGTGATGAGCATCCTAAGTCCAAGTACCATTGGTTCTTAAATCTCTCTTCATCTCTTTGTGTGACCATTAGCATGATCTCTTCTTCTTCATATTTTGCAAAATTTACATCACTTTTTGATTCTTTTGTTTTTCAGGACAACCACTAGAGTAATGACCATACTTCTGACAATTGAAACACTGGATGTGAATTTTGTGAGGCTTTCAACCACCACCTCTTCCTCTACCTGCAACACCACCTCTTTGGTTGCTTTGGTATGAAGGCCTTCTCTGGTTCAACACATTTACTTCTTGCTGGTTTCGACCAGTCGAATTGTTGTAGCCTCCTCTACCTTTGTTGTCAAACCATTTTCCTTTGCTTTTCTTTTTTCTTGGTTATTGCGCTTGCAGAGCCACATCACTCTTCAACTCATCTTCAGCTCTTTCGAACATTCTTTGTTCATGAGATTCAAGTGTCCCTTGAAGCTCTTCTTTTGTCAATGTCGACAAATCTTTAGGCTCTTCTATGGCTACCACCACGTGGTCGAACTTTATAGACAAAGACCTCAAGATCTTTGCGACAACTGATCTTGTTGTCACCATTTCTCCACATACCTTGCTTTGATTCACCAATTCTGTAACCCTAGTGAAGAAATAAGTTATGCTTTCAATTTCTTCCATCTGAAGTAATTCATATGTTCTTTTGTAAGTTTATAACCTCACCTCTTTCAACACCTCCAAGCGATTTTTCCAGAATTTCCCATGCTTCTTTCGCTGATTCAACATCACTCAACTTCTCAAAATTATCTAGACTAACACATTGATGAATTATAAAGAGAGCTTTATAATTCTTATTCTTCAATTATTTGTGTTTAGCCTTTTCTTTTTGTTGCTTCTTTTTCAAGCGGTTCTACTCATTCTTTCACAAGATTTCAAAGATCTTGATAACAGAGAACAATCTTCATCTACTTGCATCAATTCTCATAGTTATCAACTTTCAGAATTGGAAGGCTTGCTGAAAAATGCTCGTTCGGATGATTCATTGCCATCATGATTTTCTTCTCACGAATCGCTCAGCCAGTGCTCTAGATACCAGATGTTTGAATTAAGCCTAAAACTTTGAATAATTCTGAACCAATCTTGATGAACAAGATTCAATCAACCCGATGGAAATCACTCTTGTTCTTCACTCTTCACTCAAGTGAATCAACCAACCTGGGAAGAAAAGAAAAGATAAATTGGGAAGAAATGGAATTAGGGTTTGAACAAAAGGAAGAAGAAGAGTTTTTGAATTATGCTTTGCTCTTTGTTTTGCAAACTGCAATATTATTCACGTGTACAATAATATGGATTACTCCCTCTATTTATTGTTGAGCTTGCTTGCTCCCTAAAGAAAAACCCAAAATACAAAATCCAAAAATACATAAAAATAAACCTAAGTCGAAAAATCTGTCGAGCAACCTGCTTCGACGTTTCGACAACTCTGGATGTTTCGACAGCAACATGCTTCGACACCATGAATTACATTCTCAACAAGATACAATAACTCAACTTGTGACAAATGTGTTTGTCTCTATTCAGGTTTTCCTATACATGTCTCCTGTGAAGACTATAATTTAAGTAATGATTTAGCATGAAGAAATAAAGAATCTCGGCTAAGTATGTATTGTGACAACAAGGTAAGAGACTGGATCTCCCTTTATGGCCTTTAGGTGCTGATGAATGGGTTGATTGCATGTTGCAAGCAGGTTCGTTCAAAGTAAGCCTCCTTCTGCCAAAGAGTGAAAGTTTTACGTGGAGAGGTGTAGTTATTGCTCATACAGTTTTATTTTCAAATCGATTTGTATTGCTTTGTCATCTCAATTGCATAAGTGAAAGTTAAAATAGAATTAACTAAGGAAAGGCATGTTGATTTATTGTAGTAAAATTTCTTAATCAATAATTTAATTAGTTAAAGTATTTGTTTATTATTATTATTATTGTAAAATCATCGAACTTTCTGGTATGAAATGAAAATAATTTCATACGTTGGACAATGTTTTGGCACCACTGATTAGAGTCAAGAAAGCTTAATACACCAATTTCCTTTCAACAAGTTTCAAAGCAAGTTCAGTGTGATATGGTTATATAAAGTAACTATCAAGTTTGAATCTTAGCCAAGTGCTTCCACCCTTTTATGTGAGAGGCCATGTACTCCTCACTTGGAAGCATGATATTACAAACTTTACATATTATTTTGGAATTAACCATCCTAAATGGTTCACAAAGGTTCTTTTCCAGGGTGGGCTGCTTCTTTGCTTTCAATGCCTCAATAGTATTCATGTGTTTCCTTCCACTAAGGTGCGAATTTAAGGTTGTCTCGCTCGATGTTGTTACCAAACATAAAGCACAAGCCCACTCTTTCTGCACTTCTTTCTGTGTAGAGGTAGAACTCCCTTTGGTTTCTATTATGGCAGATGATGCCTTTTGACTTGCCGCCGCAATATTAGCACAGGTTCTCTAGCACCAACAAATACCAATGATAACAACAAAAATCATGATCACCACATTCACACAATTTATATATATAGTTGTAAGCCTAAAAACCTTAACAATGACCTCTTAGCATGCAACAAGTCTAAATTTTAATAGTGTTGCCCCTTGCACAAGTTTGTATTCCACTATATCTTCACTAGATTCAAAGGTGGGACTTATTGATCTAATGATAGAACAAACTTGTGCTTGTTATAACACCTGTTTCATTCGTGTGCCATGAAATTTCTATGAATAAATCCTTACTTGCTTGGTTGCAGGAATTTCTTTTTTTGCAATAGCATCCAAATCTTTGATTTCTATGTGTTCGGGTTGGAGTCCTTTTCCATTTGTCTGCACAAGAAGCTTCCCTCGGTAAATACTCTATGTTAATGTCACCATGAGACCGAGAAAGGTAAAATTGACTAACACATGAACTATATTAATTTCACAACAATTAATATCAAACCATTACCTTTGGTGTTTCTTTACTGTTGGCAGCTGTGATTTCATGTGTCGATTCTGCATAGTTTTGCTTTTGCAGGGTAGGTTGCTTCTTTGCTATAAAAGTTTTAATAGCAGCCCTGTGTTTCCTTCCACTTAGGTGGGAGTTCCAGGTCATCTCGTTCGATGTTGTTACCAAACATAAAGCACAATTCCACTCTTTCTGCATTTCCTTCTGTGTAAAAGTTGAACTCTGAGTAGCCTCTCCACTAGCTTTGTTACTCTCTGCGCTTCCTTTGGTTTCTACGGTGGCTGCTGATGCATTTTGACTGGGCACAATTTCAGGGATTGCAAAAATATCCTGCATTATATAATTGGAAGAATACACATCTTTTGAGCATTCCAATTGCAAAAAAACTTTTTCAAACGATTTTATAAGTTTACTTCGGCGGAAAAGAACTCTGTTTTTGAACTTTCAAAAAGGGAATAAGTCTATTCAACCCTTATAAATGCGAACAAAGCCTTACTTGCTGGATTGCAGGGATTTCTTTTTTCACGACAGCCTCCAAATCTTTAATGTTTGCTTCCATTCTTTCTACATTTGTCTGCACAAGAAACTCCTAAGACAGTAAAGTCCAAGAACGTGCAACAAGAAATATATTAATATCACAATTCAATTAACAACACAACTTTACCTTCAATGTTTCTTTATTATTAGCTAGAATTTCACTTGTCGCTTCCGCATGAGGTATAAACGTCTTATTCTTCATTACGAAAATAAAAAGAACTAATTAGGTAAAACCTTCAATTTACCATGTAGATATTGAGACATACACGTAATGCCACATAACTATATACAAATATCACAACTAAATCAACATCAAAATCTTTTACCTTGTTAGCAATGAGTTTCTCTAATGCTGCTGTCCCATTCTCTTTCATATATATCTCTGCATGCATTAAAAAGTTATCTTTCTCGAATAACCACTTCATCCGGTAGTTATTTAACTTCCAAGTGAGTATTTGCAGTTTCATGGAGCGAATAAGATTATTATAAACATAAGAAGCTCGTCCAAAGTCTGGTATGGTGAGCCAGAAGATTATCATTAGCTTAATGTACAGCCAGAGGTGAAACCTGGTATGAAACAAGGGAATGAAGTAGTTAATCAACACCATGAATTGGTTTTGAAGCAACATTTCTTTACTTATAAAGGAAAAGACATCTTAGAAGGAATTTAATGCCCTAATCTCTATTACAAATTTGGCACATATTCTCAATGAAAACAATGCATTGGTCAGTTCTTAATACATGTTTGGAATTTGGACAATTGTGAATGTGGCAGAATCATTTTAATCACTTTATGCACTGTGATTTTAGCAAACTTAGCATTAATTAGGCGTCGAAATAGTTCAAAAAAATACTATAAGAACAATGAGACTAAATATTATAAAAATAACTTATGACATTATTTATAAGGTTTTTTCAATTTATTTTCACAAATTCTTCAAGATAACTAAACTTTATATTTATATTTTAATTTAAATTATAAAATATAATATAATAATAATAAATTTATTCATATTTATTTAATTAGACTGATTTGTTGGATTTAAAAAGTTTCTTTTATGGCATGTGATCTAGTGTGTTTGGAAACTCAGCGAGCTACCGCTACCACGCATTTTAGACTACCTACACCGTGGTTTTTAGAAGCAACTAATGCTAGCTTCTATGAAATGTGCGGTGCCACCATGATTTTGGAATAATATCAAACATAAAGCTAACTTTTTTAACTAAATAGATTTTTAAAATTTAAAGAGTTTGGCCTAACCTAAATCTATAAATCTATATAGATTAGGTCGTAGATCCATATTAGTTGATTTGGTCTATTCCCGATCCTATCTATAGTCTATTCTAAACTAGACTCAGATCCGCCTTTTATGTAAATAGAGAAGACTAAGAGTCTATATGAGAGTTGGATTTAGATGATTTTGGATGGTAAGACTTTAGAAAATTAAGTCAATATTTGGAAATACTAGGATATTAAATATTTCAAAAAATTGGAAAGATCAATGTGATGAATAATCTTACAATTAGTCAATTACACCTATATGACTGCAGGCATAACTTTATTGTAAGGGTAAAGTATGGTATAAGATTTCATATTTATATTTTTGAGGGCAAAGAACTTACCATGGTAGAAGGTTGAATAAAGCATAGTCAAAGAGGTAAATGAATGAAAGAAGTATCCAATATGAGATCAAATTCTTAGTTTCTGCATAACAATCAGTCTCGATTGCTTGTATGGAAGCACACCTGTCCAAAAACCATAACCACAACAAAATAAAAAAGGTAGCAACATTTTCAATACACCAAAAACCCAGAGCAAGAACTTACATAGGATACAGCAGAGCAACAAGAGGCCTAAAAAGTGAAGGAAATAAAAGAAAGGTAGTGTTGATTAGCACGAACAAAGCATTTAACAACTTTACAGTAATAATGTGAAGAAATATGAAGGCAAATAAGAAAGATGAAGAAAAGAAAGGAGGAATAATTTGGTTACCATGCGAAATGATGAAGGAATTTAAAAGCCAAATTGAGAAACCATGAAGAAGCCATAGAGGAAATTAAAGGTGTCAATGGTTGTTGCGTTAGCATAAATAAGACGATGATGTAAAAGGAAAATCAAAAGTCGTGGTGGTGAGTAAATAAAATAATCAACTACTTTAGTTTAGTTGGGAGATGGAAGGAAAGTGAGAAAGTCGAAGCAACCAAGTAAACAAGCTGCACAACCGACATGGAACTGTGACATATTCGTCAGACTCAGTCAAACTATTTACACAAATATGTACTTTGGGCACATCTTAAAAATACTATTTACACAATTTTTTTTCTTTCAGAATCCGTAAATATAATTTATTGATATTTTAAATATAATTTTATTGTACTTAAATGTTTCTAATTATAATATTTTAACGTATTTCTTAGAACACATGTTAACATGTTAACATGACTTTAAAAAAGAATATTGATTAATATTTTAAAAATATTCTTTAAATATTTAAAGTAGTAAGATTTAAAAAATATATATATAATCAATATATTGATAATTAGAATAATTGACTTTTATAAAAAATATTTTCTTTATTTAATATTCTTAAAAAATCTCCTCGGTACACAAATTAACATGCCTTTTAAAAAATACAAAATGTATCTACTAAAAAGTAATCCTAACATCTAATAAAATTCTTTCATTTATAATTTTATTGTCTCAAAATAATTATTTTTTTCCAATATCAATACAACATTTATTATTAATTGCCACAACTATACCATACTATTCTGTTTTATATTCATGGAATAATTATTCAATGAATCCAAATAATCAAATTTTCTTATAATATAAAACGAAGGAAGTATTTATTAACTTTCTCTTTATTTAGTTATTCTATTAGCTATAATTAATAGGGATATTTTAATAATTGAAATTAATTTTATTATTAAAATTAATATATGTTTAATCATTTTTTTAAGAACCGTGCCTTGCATAAATATGATATTTTTTATGAGATGGAGAAAATATATTTTTATATTGCAAAAATAATTATTTAAAAATATTTATATAATATTTATTACTTCTTCTCTGGTTCTATTTAAAAGGAAAAAAAATAATTTTCTCTAAAAATAAATTAAATAACTAATGTATTTAGATAAAGTTCAAATACATTAATTAATGTATTTAAAAAATAAATAGTTTCTTATTAATATAATTAGATTAAGACCCGTGTAATATGCGGGTGTGGATAAATTTTTTTAATTAAAACTTTAATACAAAATAAGATTAATTAACTTATTTTATAAGATTTTATTTTAAATTTTATAGATGTTTTAGATGAAATAATTATGTGAATTAGACACTATTAAAAAGGTATGTTTTAAGTGACAAGAAAATATATGTTTGGAACAGACAAATAATAAGTTAGCTTTTCATAATTTATATTTTTATAAAATATAGGTTATTTTTAAAGAGAAAATCATATTTAAGAGAAGAATTTTTAGTAATAAAATATGTTAGATTTAATCTATGAAAGTGTATATAATAGTTTATCAGTTGTTTTGACTTTCATTTGAACAAATATTATGATCTAAAATATATATTTATATCATTTTAAAGTAAGAAGCCATATTTTTACGTATTTAAGTTTTCAGTAGTTAAATTATTTATAATATATTTTTAGCATTAATTGCTATAAGTTTCTAATTTAATAATTCAATGTCTTTTAATTGATTAAAAATGTTAAAATTTATATGTAGGTTGTTATTCATCATAATATTTTTAAAAATCACGTAATGGTTAATTTTTATTATTATATAGAAAAAAATCTGACAACATTTTAAATTTCTATTAAAGTCATATATTATTGTTTAAAAAAAAATTATGATATAAATGACATATATATTATAATTAAGTGTTGGGAATTATTATTCAATCATAACATAAATTTATAAATTAAAAATTAATAATAATGTAAAATAATGGTATGGAACTATACAAATAAATGACGTACTTAAATCCTATAATAAGTTATGATATTTTTCTATAAAGAATAAGAGTTATTAAAATATGTATTCAATTATATTTAAATTACTTTTATATTAGAGTTAAAACTATGCAATATTCAAAGTTAATCCTAATATACCGAAAGATATGTTTTAATGTATATTTATATTACATGATGAAAATAATTTTGTTTAGTTTGTTACTAAACAGTTAGTTTAGTTTGTTATAATTCTGTTTAGTTTGTTACTAAACAGTTAGTTTAGTTTGTTACTTAAACAGTATATATAGTACTGTTTTGTACATTCCAAAACAAGAATAATACAATGAGTTTATTCCAAAATTAACATGGTATCAGTTTGAATTCCCTTTTCCGCGTCTTTCTTCTTCGCGCCTTCTTCTTCTTCGCGCCTTCGCGCCTTCTTCTTCCTTTGCTGCATCAGCTTGATTATGACGCTTCCTTACTTTGATTTTGCTACCAATCCCTCAAATCCTTACTACATGCACCCTAATGAGAATCCCTCTCTTGTTCTTGTTCAACCTGTTCTTGATACCAAGAATTACCAGATCTGGTCTAGATCAATGAAAGTGGCTCTTATCTCCAAGAACAAGATCAAGTTCGTTGATGACACTCTTTCTCCTCCCCCTATCTCCGACTCTCTATACGAACATTGGCTGCGATGCAACAATCTCGTCCTCTCATGGCTTCAACGCTCGATTTCTGAGGAAATTGCAAAATCTCTTCTCTGGTATGATCGTGCTTCTCTTGTATGGAAAAGTTTAGAAAATCGTTTTTCTCAGGGAGATATTTTTCGCATTGCTGACATTCAAGAAACTGTTGCTCGTCTTCAACAAGGAACTCTCGATATCTCTTCGTTCTTCACGAAATTGATGACGCTTTGGGAAGAAATCGAGAACTTCCGGCAAATTCGTGATTGTACTTGCGCTATACCGTGCTCCTGTGGTGCTGCTTCAGACTTACGCAAATTCAAAGAACAAGATAAAGTTATCAAGTTCTTGAAGGGCCTTGGTGACCAATACGCTCATGTTCGCTCGCAGATTATACTGATGAAACCACTACCAACTCTTGATAATGTGTTTAATCTGGTTCTTCAACAAGAACGTCAACTCAACCTTCTTTCACCTTCTGCTTCTTCAATTGAGTCTCAATCGTCTGTGAATCACCTTTCTCAAGCACCTTCTCGTTCTTCTCACAACCCTGGTCATGGTCGTGGCCGTGGTGGCCGTGGAAACCGACTCTGTACTCATTGCAACCGCACCAATCACACCATTGAGACTTGCTTCTTGAAACATGGCTATCCCCCTGGATTTCAACAACGCAAGCCTACTACATCTGTGGGAAACTCTGCTGATTCTACAGTGAACTCGATTCAAGATGTTGCTTCCACATCAAACACCAGTCCAAGTGCTTTGTCTACGATTCAAGAGCAATACACTCAGATTCTGCAGCTCCTCCAACAATCTAATTTGCAATCCCTTTCACCTCCCTCGATTAATTCAGTTTATACTGCTAATTCTGTGTCCCATACCTCTCCTCATACTTCCTCTGGTAATAATTCCTCAAATCTTCCTTGTCATAACTGGTGGATCATTGACACAGGTGCCACTGATCACATCACCCATATCTTTGCCAGTTTCCTTTCCACATACCACATTGCACCTAAATCTATGACAATGCCTAATGGTGACTCTGTCACTACAACTATTGCTGGTTCAGTTTTACTATGTGTTTCACTTGTCCTTCACAATGTTTATTACTTTCCTTCATTTCATGTCAATATTATCTCTGTCACCACTCTTTTTGACTCCACTTTATATGATGTGAAATTTTCTCCTAATTGCTGTCAAATTATGCAGTTGTCCCAATCCAAGATGACTGGATTTACAGCTAGGAGGATTGGTAAATTGTATGTTCTTGATGCCACTCCACCTAAGGCCATCTCTCCCACATCTGGCTCTGTCAACACCTCCTCTTCTCCCCAATTAGAACTTGCTAAACACGATCCTGCTACTATTTGGCATCTTAGGCTTGGACACTTAAGTCCCTACATACACAAATGTATTTCCTCTCAATTTCCTTTTGTCACCTACAATGACAATCATAAGCCATGTAACACTTGCCATTTGGCTAAGCAAAAACATTTGCCATTTACTCACAGTAATACTAAGTTTGTTGCCATCTTCGATTTACTTCATGTTGATATTTGGGGCCCTCTTTCCACACCTTCCATATGTGGCCACAAGTATTTTTTAACCCTCGTAGACGATTACAGCAGGTTTACTTGGACAATTTTTATGGCCAACAAAAGTGAAACTAGAAACCATTTAATTCACTTCATATCCTTTATCGAAACTCAATTTACCAAGAAACTCAAGTGCATTCGTAGTGATAATGGTCCCGAGTTTCTCATGACCACTTTCTACCTTTCTAAAGGAATCATTCATCAAAGATCTTGTGTGGAAACGCCTCAACAGAATGGTATCGTGGAAAGAAAACATCAACACATTTTGAATGTTGCTCGTGCCCTCTCTTTCCACTCTCACCTCCCTCACAACCTTTGGCACCTTTCCATACAACATGCCATTGATATTATAAATCGTCTTCCCGCTCCTCTTTTAAACAACCACTCTCCCTACCAAAAACTCCATTCTACTCCTCCCAACCTTAACCATATGAGAGTTTTTGGTTGTCTTGCCTATTCTTCGACCTTGCTTAACCATCGCACTAAATTCGAACCAAGAGCAAGGAAATCTATTTTTCTTGGCTATAGGGAAGGCACAAAAGGCTACCTTCTCTATGATCCTATCACACATGAATTTTACATTTCAAGGAATGTATTCTTTTATGAAACTGTGTTCCCTTTTGCATCCATCCCACCTGCACCTAATCCTATAATTCCTACTCCTGACCCTCCTTCCCTTGATTCACCTGATATTTTCACCAACATTCCACCCAACTTACCTCTACCATCAAATGAACCTTCCTCTCCTACCTCTCTCCCCCAGCCAGAATCTCCCACTAACCTCTCTTCTTCCTCAA